ACCCCCCCCCCCCAAGGGTTGCCATCCTTTGCAGTGTATACTTGCCTTTCCTAAATTCCTCTGCTGTTTAATTTAACACTAGAAGCCAAAGAAAATACCAGGTACCTGGGTATGGCAAGTGACTCATCCATAGGACAGTGCTGGGCTTTTTAGCACTGTCATAGGGGAGTAGTGATGGGCCGAACACACCCGAGTTTGGTTCAAGTTCGAACCTTGAACTTAATGAAATTCTATGGGACCAGAACTCTGAAAATTAAATGTCCCCTTTTTGAAGGCTTATATGCAAGTTATTGGCCAAAAAAGGGTATGAGGATTTGGGTACTGCCCTGGGGGACATGTATTAATGAAAACAAAACTTTAAAAAAATACTGTTTTTAAAGGACCAGTGATTTTAACATTGCTTAAAGTGAAACAATAAAAATGAAAAATTCCTTTAAATATCGTGCCCAGGGGGATCCCCTTAAATTGCCTGTAAAGTGGCGCATCTGTACGATGTATAGAACTGGCTGCAGCAAAAAGTGACACTTATAAAGAAAAAAATGACATTTATAAAGAAAAAAAATGTGTGCGGTTCCCCTCCCGAACAATACCAGACCCATTAAGAATAAGGAGGGACTCTATTTAAAAAAAAAAAAATGTGGGGTTTCCCCCCATAGTCATACCAGGCCTTTAAGGCCTGGTAGGAATTTTAAGGAGGAAATCCACCCCCAAAAATGGGTAAAAAAAGATGTGGGGTCCCCCCTAAAATTCCCAACCAGAACCATTGTGTGAAAACAAAGGGAAGCAGCCTGAAAAAAAAGAAAACTGATGCAGCCACCATATCTATGGATTGGATGCATTATTTCATTTTGTTTTTCGGGTTCTTTTCCTTTCATTTTCCTGGATGGCTATACTCACTCAACTGTATCTGTGGAGGGGACCATACTTATCACCCCATCCATTTGACTTCAAACTCCATTACATGGGGGGAGAGGGGCTCATAGTTTACAGAAGGAAGATAATATTGTTGACAGTCAGTTCAGCTCACATGAAGTGACAGGGACACTGCATTTCTGGCAAGACAAATAGTTATTTTCTGTAGTTGCTGAAGATGTCCTTACAACTAATGTAAGGGGTTACTCCGTTGAGGACAACTAATATTTATTTGTGCACATCAGAGTGTCCCCTTAATTGATTGTCCCCATCAGAGTACCCCTCATTTTCATAGTTAATGTAAGGGGGCACTCTGATCTGGACAACCAATGTGAGGGGGCACCCTGTTAGGGACAACTAATTATTAGTTGTCCTCGTTAGAGTCCCCACATACCTTATTTTCCTACTTCATTAGTGGGCCTGAGTTGAGAGGCAGGAGCCAGGAGGTGGAGCAGGCTGCAGGAGAGGATAGAAGAAGATACTCTTCTGTCCACCTGTAATGCTGGGGGCGGGGAACAAATTTGACATCACTGGTTGCTAAGAACACCTGGCAGTCCTAGCAACCAATGACTGCAGAGGAGGTGGACAGCTGACGTCATTGATTGCCAGGATGCCAGAAGCATCCTAGCAACCAACAAGTGAAGAGGAGGGGGCCTGTGCTGGGCTTAGTGGCCATTGGGATGTCGCATTGTGTGCAGCATCGCATGTGCTCCCGCATTGCATAGATGTGAACGAAGACTACAAGAGGTTCCACATTTACTAAATATCAGGGTTCACATCGTTTTTTTTTGTATCAGTTTCCTTTAATGTTCAGCAAACTAACGGCAATATAAAATGTATTTGCTGCTTGAAAAATAAGGTTATCTTTATTTTATAATATAACTCAGATGAAGATTTCATCACAATGAGAGCAATTAGTGCAGTACTCCAGATGATTTCTAAGAGTTTACCAACTTTCTCGTTAGCATGTATCAACATGTGAACATCTTCGATGCCTATTAGTTAAATGTTTCAGAGACCTTATTAGGGACTTAATATGTTGTAGTTTATGAATTTTACATATTGAATACGTCTGTAATGTTTATACAAATGCACAGAGGTAAAAAAGTGAAAGACGTAAAGCAAGCCTGTGTATTGTCCATGCAGGGCAAAGTAGTTTGTTCACTTACCTTACCCCTGCCATTCAACCAATAGGAGTGAAGAAAACCAGCTCAATGCAATCTACTCCCCTCATGTGATAGCACTGCAGAAATCAGCACTGTTGCATAGAGTCATATAGTTTTACAACTTATAAGTTCCAGGTATTTTCTTTACTCCTGGGGGCGGAATAAAGTGGTGGGGGAGCATATGAAAGGTGTATATGTGTTGCTGGGGAGGGGCACAACATGAACCTGTTGCTTTGCCTTGCATCACCAAAGCTTGAGTTTGCTTTCGGAGATTGCTTTAAAATTAACCTGTGTACAGCAGGCACTATAAGGCTCCACCCATAACCCTTTTGAAAGTCAATATTTGCCTAAGACTAGGCATGCATTAACTGAATGTGTTTGGACCTGCAACTAAATAAAAGGGTAACCCAATGCAAATAAGCCCCCCTGCCCACAGACCCCCACAACTACCGGGTCAGGGTTGTGGGGAAGAGGCCTAATGCAGAGGGCATGTGACCTGGTATGGTGCAGGGGGTTGCTTGATCATCCCACCCTTTCCTGCCCTAATGTAAACTCGTATTCGTTTGCATTTGTTATTTCTGTCAGTCCGAAGTTCGGATGTATGTGAACATATGCATTTCCGAAAATTCATCTGAAAAACGAATCTTTCCGAAACGAATCTCGCATGTCTACTGGAGAGTGCAGATATCACTGGCAAGGTAGCTGCAGCCATCTAATAGTGTATGCTGTACAGCAGTTACCTTGCTTTAAGCTGATTGCAAGATTCCTTACTCATATAATATTCATGAATGTGATGTGTTACTAAACATTTTGATGCTTTTAAATGATATTTGGACATTATGTGAAATATAAATTATCACAGCTTAGAATACCTAAGTAAGGTAAATGTTCTGTTGAAGAGGTTGAAAACAATTATCTTTGAGTGTTAATGTAGCAATAAGCCTGGTGAAATGTTCCTATTTAAGGTGTACTCTTATCAGTGCCTATCGATATATAAAACCTTTTGGTGGTCAAATGGTGGTTCCTAAATAACAACAATTACCTAAAATGCAATGAATGGTATGCTCTAAATTTCTGTATTTTGCCATTCTCCAGGGTATAGCTAACTTATTTATAGTACAAAATAAAAGTTATTTATCACCTTTTTCTTCTGCAAATTTCATTAATAACTGTAAAGGATCAGCACCGGAAGACAGCACAAATATCAACGGTGTGCTAGAGCTGGATCCCATGTAACTATGCCGCAGGTCAAAGGTTGGAGGATCTATAAAAGCGGGACCCATCTTGTTAGTGACAAACTGTTGGACTGCAGAAATGATCTATAAAGAACAAAACAAAAACATTATTATATTAATATGTTATTAAGTATAAGAAATGCATCTTTTAGGGGAACCTTGCATTTAAAAACAATATTCTAACAGAATCATCTAAAATGTTCCATCAATTTGTAATTAAATGAAATGTAAATGCACATTACCCATGTTGTCTTTAAAGTAAACAGTTGTACCCCACCCACTGCATGTTCCTGACTGAAACTGAGCATATATTTTTATGCTGAGTTGAAAATACAGCCATCAGTTCCTAGTCTCTTGGATACAATCTCCATTATGTCTTTTGTGAAACTACCTAAATATGGCAGCACCTGAAAACCACTCAAATAGAAAATGAAAGCTACTTCCGGACCAGACAGTGGAACTAGCAACTGTATTATATAATAGCATTAGGAAGAAATTGGATATTATTTACTATTAGTGTGATAATGCAGGAGCTCTTTAAGGTGACTTTGTCACTAAAATCAAACTGCCCAAAAAGCTGTTACTGGAAAAGAAGATAGTAAGTTCTCAATTTTCCTGCTGCCCATTCCACCAAATGCTGCCCTGATGCAGGGAAATCTCCACTGCAGTTGGTCAGAAACCAACACTACAGTACTCAATCTCCTGGTCCCCTGTTGTGCTCAGTGGTTTTTCTACCACTGACCTCTAAGTCATTACTGGATACAGAGTTCGTGTGAGGCACCAGTGAGTTGCTTTAAACCTTAAAGTGAAACTTGCCTGGGCTAAAAAAAATCTAAGGCAAAAACAGTGTTGATACAAATGTGTAGATATGGCCATTTGAAAGATTTTTGATATGGCCATTTTAGTGATTTAGTGATGCGTCCCTGGTGTCCCGCCTAGCTCCTGGCAACCAACGATTGATGTCACTAATTGCCGGAGCTGGGCGTGAGGCAGGCCAGAGTGTCCATGGTTGCTAAGAGCCTGTGTGTGGGGAAGAAGTGGGGAGAGACAAAAAGTCACCTTACCCTGGATACGCCACTGGGTATTTCACCGCAATAGGTATGGCCTATCAAACTTTAAGAGAGGGGAGGAAGGACTTGTAACAGCTGTTTAGGGAAAAATATCTAATCCTTTTAACCCCAAGCATGTGCTGGATTTACAAAAGAAGCTATCAAAAATGATGGAGAAAGACACTACTTTCTGTCTTCCAAGTAGTAAGTGAGATGATGTGTACGCAACCTAAAAAATACATGCATACACATCAGCAGGGGTGGGTGGATCTGTGTCACTGTAATTATAGCAGACAACATAGCTTACTTGCAATTTCTAGACATACCAGTGACTGTCAACACTTAGCTGACATTAAACATAGTATAATTGGTAGTATAATATAAGGCTATCGGTAACATTGATAGCAGTAACCACATAGATAGATAGATAGATAGATAGATAGATAGATAGATAGATAGATAGATAGATAGATAGATAATTAGATGTGCTCATATATTCCCAGGATAAATGTCACCTCAGTGTATAAATAGTAAAACTACGCTGTATAATGCATAATGTTGTAATGACCTCCAAGCAGAAGAGGCAATAAAAGCTCACATCTATCAAAAATGTTTTATTGTTTGGTCAGAGCATCTCATTTGCCATACCGTCTCTAACATTTTTTAATCCTCCTAGTTTATAACTTCACTCATATGTGCTGGAAAATATACCACAGCATTCTAGTTAGTAAAAGACAGTGAGGGAAATTTATCAAAACTGGAGCAGACCAAATCTGGAGCAGCTGTGCCTGGCAACCAATCAGCTTCTCTCTTTCATTTTCAAATCTCAGCTGAACAAACTGAAGAGATGCTGATTGGCTGCCACGTGCAACTGCTCCAGTTTCTGTCTGCTCCAGTTTTGATAAATTCCCCTCAGTGGGTTTATTACTGAACACTTATCATTTTTGGGAGAGCTGTAGAGAACCTTGTAACCAACAAAATGCCCATATGTACTGCTTAATAATCCAGCTTGCAAAGGAAAATATAACTGCACTTTCCATGCCTTTTCATCCCTTTTCATCATTGAGCAAGTAGTACCACTGATCAACTCAACGTTCCTCTTCCTATGAGAACAATAATCATTTATAATCCCCTTTTTTTCCCTTCAGGACTGAAAATACACTTAATATATACTAACAGCTAAAGCCCAACTCCAACAGTTTTGGGCAGGCTGGGGAAAGGATAGAACCCCTGTCAGGTTGTTACAGCCTCTGTGACCCTACCAGAAAGGAAGTGAAAAGAAAATAGTGGCACAAACAGAAATACAGATGTTCTAGCATCCCGCTTCTCTACTAAAGAAAAGCAATATTATTTGTGTCTGTGTTGGTTTTGGAGAGTTCTCCTCACTTCCTGCATAGTAAAATATTGCAAGAAGTCTAGGAAGTAAGGTTGAATCTCTCCAACCACTAAGAAGGAAGGGGGACTCTCTCCTGAGTTGGAGTATAAACCTGACAGGGGTTCTATTTCTTCCCAAAATTATCCAAAACTAGAAAAAAAAAACATTTTCTTAACATACACTCTAAAGTGTAACTGCATGGTTCCTTCCTATCTGGTAGAATGTGTTCAGTAGGACAGGAAGTGAGGGTAAATCTCTTTATCTGATCCCCAGGTAGAAGTGAAAATCTTGCAAGGGTCCCAACCCTTACCCACTGTATCCAAAACTAAGAAAAAGGTGGGTCTAGACATACACTTTAACCACTTGCCATCCGCCCGTAGTAAAAAAACGGACGGACGGCACTGCAGCATTTGCGGGTTGCCGTCTCCAGACGGCAATTTTTTTCTGCTCGCGCGCGCCCCCTAGCGGGCACGCACGGGCAGAAAAGACCCGACCATTGCACACACCAGTTACCGGGTGTTTCACATATAGGCGATTAGCGGCTCCATAGCCCGCTGATCGTCTATATGTGCTCGTTCGCGTTTTCCCCCCCCGCCTGACCCCTCACCTTGAATCCCGGGATCCGCTGCCCCGTCTGCGGCCCGGGATCGGCTCGGAGAGCGTCCGGAGGAGGAGGACGGGAGATCAGCTCCTTGCTGATCTCCGTCCGGGAGTGAGCGAACGCCGGTATGTGTTCGTTGACTTCCCTATCTACTGAGCCGACCTGCGACAGTTTTATTGTCACAGGTCGGCTAGAACTATGAGGTGAGTGAAAAGCACTCACCTCATAGTTCTCCTTTAGGCTGGGTTCCCACCTAGGTGTTCGAAATATGCGTGTATGACGTTTTGGGGTGCATGTTTTAACCGCGATTTGCAGCCCACAAAACGCGCCAAACTCGCGTTTACGAGGGCTATCCGGCTGTATCCTAATGGATATGCGTGGAAATACGCCCCAAAGAAGCTCCTGTACTTCTTTGGGCGTAGGGCATTTTTCAGCACGTTCCGACACGCTGAAATACGCCCAAGTGAGAGCCATGCCCATAGGAAATAATGGGATTTCACTTGCTGGGCGTCGATCAGCGTCGATCAGCGCTGTAAAACGCCCAGGTGTGAACCCGGCCTTAATGGCTCTAAAATTATTGCTCTCACTCCGACGTTTGCGGCGATATGCAACATGTGCGGCACGTAGGCGCACCTGACGCATATATGCGTGTGTATGTGGGGGGCGGGGACTTAAAAAATGTTTAAAAAAAATAAATGTTAATCTTCATTTTTTTAAATAAATCTTTCATTTTTGTAAAACTTTTTTTTTTTTTACACACAACTTTATTGCTATTACATGGGGGGTTAAGAAGCCCCCTATGTAATAGCCAATTTACATGACAGGTCCTCTTTATGGAGACATCAGGGGTCTCCAAGACCCCTAATGTCACCTAGGGACCTCCAGAGAAGCTGATGAAACAGAGATCGGCTTCATCAGCTTCTCTAGCTGGAGAGTCACACTGAATGCAGGAAGTGATGTAATATACATCACTTCCTGCATTCAGGGGACTGAGAGAAGATCAAAGGGAGTTTGTGTACTGAACTCCCTTTGATCTCCTGTCACAGAGCCGTGCCGGTCCCGGCCGCATCGGGCACAGCGGATCTCGGGACTGGCAACGGCAGTGACATCTGATGAGTGCTGATACAAGCGATGGAGCGTCTCTCGAGACGCTCCATCGCTTGACTGTAAAGCTGCTCGTCGGGCTCCACCGTCCTCTCGTCACAGGCGAGCAGACGAGTGGATTTTTCAAGCCCTGTTTATATATATATATTAGGGCTGGTAATGATTAAAATTTTCCTGTTCGATTAATCGAAATTTTTTAAAATCGATTAATCGACTAATTTCGATTAATTATAACGCACATACAGATCCAACTGCTTTTAGCTGATCTGCTTGCATTGCAACTCTGCCTTAGTCAATAATAAATGTGGTATAGACTGGATTAGACTGGTTAGACTCCTCAGAGCAATGGTGAGATCCCACACTGCCCTGGTTAAACCCGGGCTCTTTAGGGTCTCACCAGCACCAGGGCTCCGTAGGGTCTCACCAGGGCTCTATGGGGTCCCACCATGGCTATGTGCGATTTCACCAGCCTGGTGAGACCCCTCAGGGCCCTAGTGAGACGCCAAAGATTTTAACCAGGGCTCTGTGGGGTCTCACCAGAGCTTTGAGGGGGCCTCACCAAGGTAGCAGGGCTCTGTGGGGTCTAACCACTGCTTTGTGTAATGGAAATGAAGAGTGGAAGTCATGTTTGAAGTATAGTTTAGGTGGCAACCATGGCTCCCCCATAGATACAGTCAATGTGTGAGTAGAGGAAGTATGTTATTCATAGGAATACCAGGAATGGAAAACTCATTAACAAAAGATAATGTCGGCAGCTCATCTAAGGGTTGGTATTGGTACTGCATCGTGGTGCATTTTTGTTGTATATGTAATGGCATCATATCCCTGTGTACGATCACAAACACCTGCACAACAGAATCCCAGACCTTTGGCTCTTCAATATTAAAATCTTTTGACTAAAAAAAGACAAAAATTATATTTTATAATTCTCTTTATCCAGGTAAATAGGAGCAGC